CCTCCCGCCATCTCCATGGGTACGTCTTCCCTGCAAACCTGGGTGACCAGCAGCCTCCTGGGTCAGCCTAGTCCCGCTGTGAGCAGCCCCACTGAACCGTGCTACCTGAATCCCCAGGGCAGTGCTCCCCTGGGTGTTCAGGGGGGTGTAGCTCTTGGAGCTTTGTGCTGCAGCTGTGATTCTTCCTCAGGGAATTGTGGGAAAACTTCTCTTTCGGGGCACACAGCAGGAATTGTGGGAAGGCTCTGGAGGCTTCTCAGCACTTAAGTTATTTAGCCGGTGTCTTCCCTGCAAAATGGGCAAGTTCCCTGCTGGAGTCAAAGCCGCACCCAAGTGCAACCCCACCCCCTGAGCTGGGCCAGCTAGCCCAGGCTGAAGGCATCACATCACTTGGGTGAGAGGTTTTGTGTGTGGATGGGACATGGGAGGGGAACGCAAGGGCTAGTGGTTGGAGCACAGGAGCGGGAGTCAGGACTCTTGGGTACTGACCCACAGTTTGGCCTGGGCCCAGTCACTTCCCTTGTGCCTCAATGTCCCCATCAGTAAAGTGGGGATAATCTTCCCCTACTTTGTGGGCTGCTTACCTAGTGCTTTGGGTGGAAGGTGCTGGAGTAGCACAAGAAGCTGCTAAGAAGAAGAAAATATCAACTGTGGGCAGCTACAGGCACTTGTGTCCCTACCCAGCCTGGGGGATTTTATTTTAAGAACAAGTGCTGTAATCATTGACTACTGATTTACAATAGTAACAAGCTCTCCAAGTTGACTGCAGCAGCATCCCTGCCTTTTACTGGAAAGGGAACTGCTTGGTTTGCCAGGCCAAGGTCCCGTCATGCCTGGCACCAAACACAGGCCCATCAATTATGGGCAACAGAAGGGCCGTTTCTTTGCATTTACACGGAAACTGCACATTTGGCTGATCCCAGCCTGGAATTCTAACCGCTGGGTCTCAAAGGGACACAGACAAGGTGTTCACCTGGCTCGCTTAGGTGCATGATTCCACCCAGGACTATGGTGCTCTGTTCCTTTCTCTAGCTCTGGTGCACAGGAACCATCTGGTATCCAGGTGGGCAGCAGGTGATGCCAAATAAGCACAGGGATTTGAATACCAAGGCCTGGGTTAATAAACCCACCAGCACAGAGTGAATACATAGTACAACTGCTGTGCAATGAGTGGGTGTGATCTGCTCCCCAGATCTGTCCCGCCCCATCACAGGAACCTCGCCCAGCTGCCATACTGGAAGAGCTGCTGCCTCTGTGTTGCCATTAGGGAGGTTATGAAGATAAAATCTGTGACTTTACAGCAAATCTAAGGAGGAAAGGCTCTTTCCTGTGACTACAACTTTCAGCTCCTAATAGTTCAGCAGGTCTGGCCCTTCCTGGTGTGCAGTCAGACACCGAAGGTAAACACAGGAACTCGATTGTATCTCTAAAGCAAGGAGATGAGACATACAGTGCAGCTCAGCATGCCTCTAGCCTCCCTTCGGTGTTGAAGGAGGTGCTACCATGAAATTAGAGTGGGCGCCCAAACCTTTAAGTACCAGAAGAGAGCATGCAAAGCCCTACCTCTCTTCCATAAGAATAATCCTTGGTGCTTTCCATCTATCAGTCCCAAGGTGTAATTTCCTCCATTTTACATATGGGGAAACTGAGGCACAGAGACATTTTTTTAAGTGACTTGCCCTAAGGGCATTCAGTGCCTCAACCTGCACTAGAACCCAGTCTCCCAGCCCCAAAACTGCCTTTGTTATGGGGCTATGCTGCTCCCTGTAGAGTTGGTTTCTAAAATTAAGGGATCGTCACCTGAGCCTGGCAGTTCTCTAGCACGTCAGTGGCAGGGCCCAGCCCCAGCGCTGCCTGTTATGCGCTCCCCGGCTGAGCAATCCACGCATGGCTTGAGTCGCAAAGGCATTTACTGATCGAGAACACAGAGCCCCGGTGATTAGCTGCCATGGCACCTCCTTTGAGGGCACGTTCCATAATACGATAAGTGCAAAAAGCCAGTTAGCCTGAGTTTTTGCTCCCTGCAGCAGCAGCAGGACGGACACCAAGCCCACATGCTGTTCTAGAGACAGCCCTCTAGAGGGCAGCAGCTTCTCAAAGAAAAGCCATTTGCAGATGACCCATCTGCTCCAGTTCCAAAGCAGACAGGAGGTTGTACATTCAAGACCGGGTGATCAGACAGCAAATGTAAAAAAAATTGGGATGGGGGTGGGTGGGTGGGTAATAGGAACCTATATAAGAAAAAGACCCAAAAATCAGGGTTGTCCCTATAAAATCGGGACATCTGGTCACCCTAATCCAAGAGGCACCTGCACCGGGCACGTCTGCATTCCAGCCAGGCTCTGCATCGGCCCCCTGCCAGACAGGTACAGCTCCCATTGAAGCCAATGGGTGCTATGTGTGCACAGCCCAGAGTGGAGTTTAACCCATATTGCCTCACTAGGCTCTCCCGTAGCTTCTAATTTAGGCCTTCAAGTGAAAGCTCCCGCCAAGGAGACTGTTCTGGGAGGGGAGCAGGTCACCAGAGCAACTGAGTGGCTTTGGCGTGACCCGTTCCTGGCTGGAACATTGAGAGACCACAATAAAACGGTGCAGAAAGTACGTGCTGGCAGGTGCAGAATTCCAGGCTCACGCCTATGCAAGGCAGAAGCACCGTATAGTCCTGCGTGCTGCATTGCCCCAGCCAGCTACAGGGGCACTGCCATAACCTGGGAAGCAAAGGCTTAATGAGGGCCATGTGGTCACTGATTGAGCAGGGGCTTGGGGTGGGTGCTGATGCTGACAGAAACATCAGTCTGTGAATGCAACTAGTGGCAAACAGCTGCCGGCAGTCGTTGCTGCAGGTTTAGGGACCTCACGGCACCTGTAAACCCCTGTCCCTGGTATTTCAGCTTCCTCGTGTGTGTAAAAAGAGGCATAGTAGGTTTCCTTGCTCCCAGAGAAGTGGCGAGACTTGGCTGAGAGCAGTGGCTGGAAGGGGAATGGAAATGCAAAGAACCAGTGCTGCTAGCGTAACCCACAGCTTAGTGTGTGGCACTCGTCCCCTTCTATGCCCAAGCCACAGGCTGGTACAGCCCCAGCAAGAGAGTTTTAGCCTTTAGCTCAAACTGTAGAGACTCATGCTCTAGGTCCGGGAGCCCTCTTTCTATCAGCCTCTGCCCGGAGCCACCCTGGAGTTTTACCTGCTGCTGTCTCTTCACGGGAGTTAGCGGGTTGAGGTAGGCTCCACTGCAGTCCTGCTGTAGCGCTTCTAGTATAGACTAGCCCTGAGTCAAGCTAAGGCCTAAGTACACCTCACAAAATCACTGCCCCCTGCCTGGATAATGCAGAGGGGGAAGGGCTGCACTGCAGTAGACTGAAATGAATCCAGCGCAGGTTTGTGCCTTAATGAGGTGTTAACTCATTAACATGCAGGTGCAGATAAATGAGCATCAAAGGCATAGGCACTAGGAAGGGGGTGAGGAGAAGAGGGCGGTGCAGGGCTCTGAAGTGTCTGTCATTTGGCCTGCATCTCAGCGCCTTCCTGGCAGTTTCAGGAGCTAGGCTCAGGCATTGGCTATGAGGGGCAGGCAGACAAAGGGGAATCTTGGCAAATCACTGATCAGTCCTGTGGGTAAACCATGTACTGAGTTCAGGGGGGGCAGGTGGTATTAGTAACAGGCTGCAGTTCCTATGATTAGTCGGACCTCCAATAATCCTAGTTAGCTCGTTCTGGGGGTGCTTCTTGGGGTGGCATGTCAGGTCTGTCCCAGCTCCCTTTTAGCAATGGTCTGTAGGGGAAAAGCAATCAGGCAGAGGAGAGGGAGGGTCAGTGGTTTGACCAGCTGTGCTGTGTCAGACATGGGTGACACTGTTTGTATGAAGGCCTTCCAGCAAAGGGCAAACCAGGCTTTCCTGGAGCTCCTCTCCCCCGGAGCCACAGTCAGCCACCTTCAGGCTTTGTCTGTTAGGTCAGGGAAGACAGCAGATAAAAGTAAGAGTTTAGGGCTCCGGACTGCTAATTTGCCTTCATTTAAAGGCTGGAACGTGGGCCACTATTTGAGTCACAATAGGAGCAGCGTTCTGGTTTAGGAGCACTAATCTAGCCTCAGAGGAAACGAAATAAAGGGCAAAAGACTCAGTGGCTTATCACAACCCAGGAAGGGGCAGGGGGTATTACTGGGGAAGCACATTGTGGCACTTCCTAGTGTTGTGGTCCCTGTGGAGATCTTCCCTGCCTGAGTTTGAAGTGATTGCTCTCAGTTTGAGTTAGGTGGATCTCAACTGAGGTCTGACAAAGTTTGGTTCATGTGCTTTGACGGTAGATTCAAGAAACCTGGCAATAGAATAAGATGCCCATAGGGGAAGTTTCTTCCTCAATCTCAGCAGGCAGGGAATAGCTCATGCCCTGAAGCATAAGGCTTTATATCTCATATCAAATGTTCTTCATCCTATCTTTGAATGTTTTCATAATCCATATCAATGGCTAATTCTTTCCTTCAATCTTACTGTAGCCTTGGCCCCAATGGTATCTGGTGGAAGGGAGTTCCACAAGCTTAATTATGCATGATGAAAATGTGCAGTTCTGATTCCATCCAGTAGAGGGCAAAACCTGACTCCCCCTGTTGGGCCAACAGCAGTGTTTGAACCTAGGCCCTTCAGCATTAAAAGCATACACCTTTTAAACCTCTGAGGTAGACCAGCCACTAGAGGGAGACCAAGACCCACTCTCTCCTAGTATGTGGATTTTCAACCTGGAAGGCTGCAGTCATCCTAACCTTCCCATGTTGCCAAATGGGAGGACAATCCCAGCTAGATGGGGGAGGTTGCTGAGGATGAGTCATGGCAAGGAAAAAGGGGCTCTGGTTTGCCATAGAGTGAGAATATTCCACAAGAAGGTGGAAGCTTATCAGGCTGTACCTTAGAGCGTTATCACACTTTCTCAAGTCTTTTTCATTTTCCTTCCTGATTAGAATCAAACACAACACAAGGCAGAAGGAAAACACCCACTGGGTTGTTGTCCAAAAAAAAAACCAAAAAAACCTTTACTTGCATTTTCATCAATAAATAATTTACAGTATGTACATGCAGTGACACCCCACATGGGTCCAAAACACAAGGAGCAGTTAGGAGATTCTCCCCCCCACCAAAACCAAAATCATTTGTTTTTATTCCAACCACATCAGGTCTTCCTTGGCCACACTGGGTCATACACCACCAAAATAAAGTGCTTAACTGTTTGCTTCTAAAAGAGGGATAGCCCAACCACCGTAATATATTCAACCACCACTGGAGCACTGACCTACTAGGGAGGGCCTGGGCTATGGAGATACAATCAAGATCATGGAGGACTTTCCCCCTCCAGAGGGTAGCTCTGACCATGGCATAGCATGCTCTCTTATGCTGCCATGGCAGGAAGTGGCCCTGTTGACAGCAGATGTCATATGGCCATTATGGACTATACTGATTGGCTAACAGCAATGTCAGTCTCAGATGTGCTGCCTACACAGGGCAGTACTCTTCCTGTAGTGACGGCAGCTCCATGTCCCACCCCTCGATATGGTTGGGATTATTTGTGGGGTACCCAGGTGTGGGGCAGGTGTGTCACTGCCCCACCATAAAGCTGATGTGACTTTAAATATTCACCTCTCCAATTTCTAAGGGAAATAAAGATTTGATTTTTATGTAGTGAAGGAACTAAAGTGATTGAATAACTCTGGCCTTGGCTAGTCGCACTGAAGCCAGAGGACCTGCCAGCTGCTAGCTACCAAACACACCAAGGGAGTGTAGTTCCCCCACTGACACGTATGCATGGGATCAGCAATGGAAAGTTCCTAGGACTTGTGCTCACCCAACAAGGTTGGAAGCTGTTAAACTTAGCAGAAGTAGACCATTGGTCATACCATATGGCCAGGATCAAACCCAACTCGGAAACAGGCAGTTCATAGCCACTATAGGAGTCTTAAGGAGGCAATGTGGTCTCATGGACTGGACTGGGACAAAGGAGACCTGGGCTCTGTTCCTAGCTCTCACACTGCCCAGCTGTGTTACCCTGGGCAAGTAATTTCATCAATTGTGCCTCAGTTTCCCCTCCCTTCCTTATCTGAGTTCTTTGGGGCAGCAACTGTCCCTCACTAGGTGCCTAGACGGCACCTAGCAGAATGAGGTCCTGATCTCTGCTGGGGCATCTAGGTTACTCCAATATAAATACGGATAATTTAGAATGTCTCAATTATTTCTTTTTCGAGCTGCCCCCGCAAGAGTTCTGTGGCCAGCAAGTTGGTAGATTTACCCTCCAGTGGTTGGTCTCCCCAGCTCCCTACATTGTGAGATCCCTATTTTAAAATCGCCCTAAACAGAAACACGGGCCACCAGCGGACAAAGCAAGGAGCGAAGTAGTAAACACATCTTTTCGTTTTTTCTTTTCTGTTTTTTGTTAAACACCTAAAAACCAATTACATCTCTTCATCTGTACAGTCACACGAGACCCCCACCAGGGCTCCATAGATTAGAGACACTATAAATTACACCCAATGACACACGTTGCATTTCTCTGCTGCTTTACAAACGGAGGTCTAGAGCTGGCAGGACACAATGAATAGTTGCTTGAGTATTTACAGGAGGCTGCCCCGGGGCGCTAGTTTGCATGCGCTGCAGGGTGCGTCACACGCCCATTCCTCTCTGGACTGGCTCTCTGGGCGCTGTCACGAGACCATCCATGATCGCTGGTTGTCCCAGTGATCTACCCGCACTTCTGGGGAGATCTCTGGGAAATTCCTGCTGGGGGAACGATGGATGGAGCATTCCCCCAGAGGTGTCCCAGCTTCAGGCCGAGGTACAGATGGTCTTGTCATTGCTGAGCAAACCATGAGGCAAATCCCAGAAGAACACGGAGAAGGGGAAGGGACACTGCAACCCTGGTAGAGGAGGTTATTGATCGTTTACTGCCAGGGAACAGAGCCTTTGGACAGCTCAGGGCCTGCCCCTGGCTGGATTTTCAAACAGTGCCCTCCTCAGAATCAAGCCAGGAAGAACTAAGGTGCAACCGGTCTGAAATGACATCACTAGGAGTGGAGCAGTTGCTTAGCAGCAAACAAGCCAACCCCCCCCCCCCACTCCCTGGGCACTGCCCCAACCCCACAGCTGCCCTCCTGTGGGATGAAGAAGGACAGGGCTAGTGGTGGCGACCCTCCAGCCTGTCAGCGAGGGGCTTGAGGAGGTCCGACTGGTCACCCTGAATCTGGGAGATCACTGGCACCTCCCCACTCACTTTGCCTGAGCGCCCTGGGAGCTAATGGAATCAAAGGGCCACGTCACAAGGAGCACTTCAAATGCTGGGAGGAGGCCAAAGGCAAATGTCAGAAACCACTCGAATACTGGCCAGGTTTCTCCCTTTGCATCTCGGAGGGCCCAAAGGATTCAACCTCGTGGCTATGAAGCGAATCAGAGCGTTAATGTGCCAGGATGGGATTTCCCGGATCCCATTAGCTCCCAGACGCCCTGCGAAGCACAGCAAATGCAATCAGTGATTGACTCTCCCCATCCCCCCGGAATGGTGCCGTTCAGCGAAGGATGAACTGTGCGCCTCGGACACCTGGAGGGAGCCAGGTGCTGGGCAGAGCAGGGTCTTTAATGAGGGACAGAAACCATTCCAGCCAACTGCTCGCCCCTGCACCCTCTCTCCGCATGGGTGTGTACCCGGCGCCCGGAGGGCACCGTTGTAGTTCCTCTGTCTGGTGTTTAGCACCCGCATTTGCACAGGCAGCCGGCGGAGCCCCAGGAGGGAGCACGCCCCGCTTAGGTGCGTACCACCAGCTGTTTGCACACACAGATGGGGGGGGGGGGAACGGGACTGGTGAGCCCTTTAGCAGGTGGAGTCATTTGCGTGAGCAAAGCAGGTGTGAAAATCGGAGGCCAGCCTGTCTGTCTGTGTGTCCCGTGATGGTCTCTAGGCATGGGCCCATCTAGCCAGCATGCCATCCTGACCAGCGGGGGCGCTGTCCCCTCCTCCCAGGCAGCAGCAGCAGCCAACTCTCCTAACATGAAGTCACTTTCACAAATGCCAACATCACAGTCACCACAACCGTTTGCAGTACCACGAGGGAGCACTAGGGGGAGGCGGGGGCATCCCACCCTCCTCACCCACATGAAGAGGAGAGGGTGAGCTGGGCAAGGGCTACATGAGGTCTGGCTGCTCTCTGGGGCAGGCCCATGACGTTCCAGGGGGTCTAACTCTGAGGACAGGGGCTGATTCTTTAGCTCCCAGCCAGACCTGCTGTTCAACCTCTCCTCATCCAGCACAGACCATCGTTCCCTCCTGCTGAGCTCTTCCCCGCCCCCACCGAGGTCACATCTATAGGAACACTGACCAGCACCGACTCAGACACACTAGCGCCACCCAGAGGGCAGGGAGGGCCCGGGGATGCCCCGAGGGGGCTGTGTTGCCTGGGCTCAGCTCCCGTGTCCTTTCATAGAGGTGCAGCTTGTCCTTGTTGGAATGAAGCATCTTCACATCCTCGAAAGCGTAATACGCCGCCAGAGTGAAGTTGACGTCCCCCGTGGTCAGGAGGTCAAAGACGCAGGACTGGAAGTACAGGTCCTCCACGGGGAGCTTCTCCCGGCACTTGGCCATGGCCGTTTCGTAGGTGAAGAACTCGGGCGAGGTGAGGCTGGGCCCTTTCCTGCGAGCCCGGCCTTCCGTGCCCTGAGCAGAGCGGAAGGTCTTGAAGTCAATCTGTTGGTTAAGCGGGCAGCCCCGGAGGCAGAGGTAAAGGCCCTGGTTGTCCCTGTCCTCCACGGCGTTCACTACCTCCTCGGGCATGCGCACGGCGAAGGTGAGGTAACGGCCCACCTGCCTCACCACAATGGTGGTGCCGATGTACTTGGCTTGGATCTCGATGTGCTGGCCTGACACCTTCTCGGTGATCTTCAGGCTGTTGGCGCCATGCTTGTCGCCGCCGTTCTTGGAGCCGTCGGCGAAGGCAGCTGGGAGCTCGTCCATCTCCGCCTGGTACACTTTCTGGTCCACACACTCCTGGAAGCTCTTGAAGATGATGGTGAGCTGTGAGGGGAAAGGGAGGAGAGAGAAAGGGGCATTAACCAACGCTGATAACCCGTTGAGCTCAGCCACCAGTACATCTCATTAATGAATACAAGGGGGTTTAGGCCTGACTGGTTCATTCATCAACCACCAATACGTGCCTCCGGAGGCGGTTTGGAACATGGAGAATCAGTCTTTTGGGGCATTTTAAATTCCACAAGCACAGAGTTCCCACTATGAGATTTCCCCATTTTATGCACAAGGCCACTAGGCTTCAGCCTACAGGCGGATGTATCAAGGGGCATATCAGCTACACACAGGAAGGAACCAGAGACAGGACTAGAACCGAAAGGTCACGCTGCCAAGTCCCACAGAAGTTACTTGTTGGAGCTGAGCTGTGAGCCTGAGACCTGGGAGCAGAGGGGGAGGGAGAGGAGAGTCTATTGATTATCCCCAGCTAATATGCGTCATGTCCCCAAGCCACTGACCTATTAATTGTTCTTTACACTTGGCTCATGCTTCCCTTCTTCAATTTGCTGCAGGCCCCTTTGACAAGCCTGTGAGCCAGACGGGTATCCAGCCCCTCGTGGTACGACCACAGAGAGGAAAAGGGACTCGCTCAAGGCCACGCAGCAAGATGGCGGTTAGACTTCCAGGTATTCCTGGCTCCCAGTTCTACGCTCAGGCTGACCCCCTCTCTCTAGCTGGGATTTCCCTGTCAGGCTACAACAGGTTTTAATACCTCATGGGAGAGCTTACAGGGAGTTTAGAGCTTATATGGAGTCTATTTATTAGGGATGTGTGTGAACCAAAGTTCTCTCAAAACCTTAGTGAAGTTCCAATCTGGATCTAAAATACACAGATGACAACCAGGCTCCTGGATCTGACTCCTGGGACATTTGGATCCATCCTGCTATTTATTTACATTGCTTCTGGAAGAAACACCAATTTCAAATGGCTCCCAGTGGGGCCCCGGCATCCCCCTTGGCTCTCCCCCTCGGAGGGATCTGCCCCAGCCATTCTGCCCCAGATTTCCCATTGCTGCTCCCACCAGTTCAGTCCCACTTAGTACAGCAACGGGGGAGCTGTAGCGCAGATCAGCCTCCAGCCCTGCTCAGCATAGGGCTTAAAATCCCCGCAGCCTCCTGGAGCCCTGTTTATGTACCTGGGTTCCCAAAGTGGGTACCACTGATGGAGCTGAACTGTGGTGGGAACAGTGGGAAATTCTAGGTAATACTTCCTAGCATAGCCGAGGCTATCCACAAAATACCAGCCACCCCAAGCCCTGTTTTGGCAGCAGCACAGTTCCCATTTCTTTGCCCCTGCAGAAGACTCTCCTAGTCTGAAGGGTTTAACTGGAGTTAAAAGGTGTGTCCCTGTTTTCCTCGCCAGATATCTCTATTAAAGCTTTCAGGTGTTGGCAGGTATGCACCAGGTTACTGGAGGTTGTATCCTCTCGCTGAGAACACCCTGCTCCAGTGAACAGCACTAGAGAGAGAGCCTGGATGCACACAGACACCATCGGCCTTGGAGCCAACCTGCGGAGCGAGGGCTGCCTGTTCCAACAGCTCTTCCTGCTGGGTAAACTTGCTGAGTCGCCACCCTGAGCGATGACTCATCACTTCTCAGCACCACGGTCCTGACGCAACATGGTGCAGTGCCCCAAATAAGTTCCAGGACTAAGGGCCCTTCAGGCTGCAGGCCAGCCTTCATTGAAACTGCGATGCTTCCCACTCTAAACAGGGATGGTGGCAAACCTCTCCTCAGTCACCCCAGGAGTACTGTGAAAAGGGCCAGACAAGGATCCGTGCTCCCCAAAGGCCGGCAAAGCAAGCAGATCCCTTCTTACCATCCACCCTGCCCTTCCTCTGGATCAGGGTAGCTGAAATGAGTTCCCTTCCAGCTTCAGCGCTCATGCAGCAAAGAGGAATTCAGCCGCAGCATGCCTCAGCTCCAAAGCCGTCCTCAAGCAGAAGCCGGATTTACCACTTAAGCCGTGTCCCTTTGAGTTCCATTGTGCTACAACTGGGCATTTGCCACTGGATTTACTCAGTGCTGCACCCGGTCCCTGGAGAACATTTATCTTGGCTGCCACAGCGCAGCGAGAACAGACTGCGCCCCACAAAATGCCTCGTCCTGACCACAGACACAATTACTAGCTAAAGCAGCTGGGAAGCCAGCACTAGAAACCCAACTCTTCAGCTCCAAACCACAGGCTTTCCCATGTGAGCTAACACTCTCTCTTACCCGTCATAGGTCCTACGGCATGCCAGGTGACTTATCCTCCTCTGGGGGACCAGCCACCAGGGGGCACCACCACACACACAAAGCCAGAGCAGTATGGAGATGGTGACAAGGGAACATGATCCCTGAGGCTCCCCCACCTCCACTAGGTTTTCTTCTCCTCTGGCATTAAAACCGTGGTTGGTTGTGAGGGGGTGGATGGATGCGAGGGTTGGGAGTCTAGCTGGGGCTGGATGGTTCAGGCAGACTGGGCAGGGAGTCTTTCACCTTAAGGTGACTGGTTCAAATCAAATGCTGGTCAGCAGAGAGCAACAGAGGTGACCACCCTACGGCTGTGTGGTGGCACATGTGAAATGCGTTGTGTGTGTGTGTGTGTGTGTGTCCTGTTCCCATGGCACTCACTCGCCGCCTTGATGGCAGAGGCACCACACAGGCCAAGTTCAAACCTGGCCTCGGATACTGAGCGACTCGCTCTCCTCTCCAGACGGCGCCTGCCCATCAGGCTTTGAGGCAACACGGAGAGATTTCCCCCGCTCGGCCTGCTCTGGAAATGAAGAGAGGGCTTCTAGCCTCGGCGCTGGCACGACATTCACCTCAAAATTAAAAGGACACAGCCGAGGAAGCCACTAACGTACGGGGCCGAATTCCGCCCCACCCGCTGGGGGTCTCTGCAGAGAGACACAAATAGCAGCATCGTTCTTCTGCAACCGACAAACTGCTCGTTATCCACCCCCCCGCAGCCGAGTGCAGGGCCTGGGACAACTAGACAGGACAGGCGATGTCCACAAAGAGCACGGGACCTCTCTCTCTCTCTCGCAGTGGGGGCCTTGGCAAGAAGGTGAGTTTTCACCCTGCTGCAGGCTCCTTCAGCTGCCATCTCTGCCACTTTGCACAGGCCACAAAATAAACAGGAGGGCGGGTTCAGCGAGTTTTACTTGTTGCCAGCCACCTCTGGCACCTTGTCATCCGCCTGCTGTTCCCATCCTTGAATGGGAGTGTCGCAGTGCCCTGCAAAGGAATCTGGCGGGGCGGGGGGGGGGGGAAGGGTTGGAACACAACCACAGCTGCAATGCCATGGGAGAAGGGCAAAAGGGAGAGACGTGTGTGTTTGTGGTTTGCCCTTCCGGGGGTGCTGCCAGCCTTAGATCCCTGGCCTGCCCCCTTCATGCTCTGACCCTTTCTTGACCTAGACCTACGCCAGGGATGATACGTCTCCTCTGACGATGCTCAGCAATCTGAGGGGGGCCAGATGCAGTGGTGAGAAACCAGAGTCCATCTAGGGGGGCAGGTGAGTGGGGAACCAGGAGTTTGGGAGCAGAGAGTCCAGGGAGAAGGGCTTGATTTTCTGGCCGGGATCCTGTACTTGTGGTGGGCTCGGACTCGGTCTCAATCCGCTGGATAACCTGGCACTTGCGGATGAGACTCAACAGCTTTCTGGGACCCTTTTGTGGAAGGCAGTGGGAGAAAAGGTGATTAAAAGGGTGACCCCAAGGGGGCAGTGTCAGAATGTCACCATCCGCCAGGGGACAGCCCACCCACCCCATGCCTTTACCTTGGTCGTTGCAGTCGCTGAGGACCCGGGTAGCACCGGCGTGTTGGTGACCTGGACATTCAGGTAGTTATTGTCTATGAGTGGCCAAGCCCCCTGCACTTTGCAGGTCTGGAAGCTGTCTGTGAAAGTCCTGAGGTGGGGGTCCCCAAAGAGCCCGCAGTGGGTGTAGTTTGGGGGGGCTGAGTGCTTGTGAAAGCTCTTCTCGTAGTGGCAGATCTCTGGGCTGTCGGAGCGCTCTTGGCTGTCCCCGGGGGGCAGTGTTCGGAGGCGGGGCTGCGAGGTGGGGCCATCTTTGGAGCAGTTGTGTTGGACCATGAGGTCATCTATGCCATGAACGGCGGAGTGGTAGGCCAGGTCCCCCCTGCAGGTGCGAGCCGTGCGGCGGGTGCAGTGGGCGTAGGTGCGGAGAGCCGTGCAGAACTCTGGTGCCTCCTCTGTGCCCAGGTGGTGAGAGCCAGATGTGGCCGCCCAGAACTCAGAGTTACACTTCAGGATCTTGCACTGAGAGGTCGCTGGGGGGAAAAAACACAGGTGCTGTCAAGATGCCCAATACACGGATCAAATACAGCACACCACCAAAATGCCACCACTGCTGGCGAGGGCCGTGGCAGCTGGGTAGCAGCACTACCAATAGGTCAAGGCAGGAAGCGAAGAAGAATCCAGTCCCCAGATGAATCCTAGGGGGAAATTAGGAAAGTGGACTAATAGAAATGTAGGGCTGGAAGGGATGTTCAGAGGTCATCAAGTCCAGCCCCATGTTCTGAGGCAAGACTAGGTAAACCTAGACAAGTGTTTCTCAAACTGGGGGCGCCGCTTGTGTAGGGAAAGCCCCTGGCGGGCCGGGATGGTTTGTTTACCTGCCGTGTCCGCAGGTCCGGCCGATCGCGGCTCTCACTGGCCGTGGTTAGCCACTCCAGGCCAATGGGAGCTGCTGGAAGCGGCGGCCAGTACGTCCCTTGGCCCGCGCCGCTTCCAGCAGCTCCTATTGGCCTGGAGCAGCGAACCGCGGCCAGTGGGAGCCGCGATCGGCTGGACCTGTAGACAGGGCAGGTAAACAAACTGGTTCGGCCCGCCAAGGGCTTTCCCTACACAAGCGGTGGCCCCAGTTTGAGAAACACTGACCTAGACCATCCCTGGCAGGTGTTTGTCCAATTTGTTCTTAAAAACCTCCCAAGACAGGGATTCCCTTGGAGGCCTATTCCAGAGCTCAGCCACTCTTAGAATTAGAAAGGTTTTCCAATATCTAACCTAAATCTCCCTTGCTGAAGATTAAGCTCATTACTTATTACTTATGGTCCTACCTTCAGGGAGCGTGGAGAACAACTGAGCACAGTCTCTTTATAACAGCCCTTAACATATCGGAAGACTCGCCACGTTGGCTGGGATGCTGAGAATAGCTTAACATCATTGACTTGGAGGGGAAATACCATTGGGCCTTTAATGTCAGGAGGCTTTTAGGGCTTGACATTCAAAAATATGCATGAGCAATTGCGCATCCAAACCGGTGTTACAATGGTGCCATTGATTTGCGTTCGCATTTAGCACAACTGCATGCCTGAAGCAGGTGTTTGTGTGCAGTGGGCTAGCTAGATGAATGACTGGTTTCCCTATACAGCTGATTTGTATACAGGGGCATTGGCTGTGCGGCTTGGCACACAGCCCTGGGCCTGTCTGTGGACAGTGGGGTAAAGCCAGGCTCTTAGCAGCCGTAAGTGAGGAAGCCCTGGTTTTACACTCCACCGTGCTCAGGAAGGGAACTCGGGCAGTTCAGCAGATCCTAGCGTGTCTATTTTCTGACTGACAGGTAGGGTTCCAAAGACTGGGGATTTTTCACGGATGTAGCTGCACTAGTGCAAGACCCTAGTGCAGACACACCTAACTAGCATGAACAGTGACTCACACCAGTACAGCACCCCCTTGTGTCCAGTTGGGCTGTCTGCAGTAGGGCAGCTACAGCAGTGCAACCCCCTCAAGTGTAGACAAGCCCTGAATAAAGCCACATCCCTAGCCCAGTAGGTAAAGGCACAGGGCCAAGATTCCTGGCATCGGGTTTGCCTTCTGGGGCCGTTTGTTCACACTCCCTGGGATACCCGATACCTCCCCACCACTATATTGTGCTGCTCTAGCACTGTTCCCAATCGCTGGATCCCTGTTGTGAGTCTCCTCTACTGCACGAAAACCGCTTGCAGGGCAAACGCCTGGCTCCTCCAGGGGTCAGCAACTCCCTCAAACCAGCCAACCCGGCAGCTGCCTGGGGAGTCCGAAAGGCAGAGAGCTGAGGAGGAAATACAGTGCAAAGGAGGAACAAACAAAGTACAAAGGAGCCTTCTCAAGCAGCTATCAATCACCTGATCTCCTGTACCTAGCACCTTGACACAATGCACGTTCCAGCGGCTTCATTAATGCTGGGAACAGTGCGTGCCGACCTCTGGCCCACCTGCCCCCGCCTCAGTGCTTTTCTAAAGCTGCAGAGATACAGGTATCAAAGGGAAATGTGTGAAAGGAAACAGGCAAAATCCTAATCAGCCGCTGGCCTCGGTTGTGTAGAGAACAGATCAGCTTCGGCAACATACTAAAGCAGCCTTCTATCGAATCAACAAGGCTCTGCTCCCAGGTCAATGCAGCCATAGGGGCTGTGCATACTGACGGCACACTGCCAACCCTGACTTCTGCAGCTGAGCACTCAGGTGCCCAAAAGCCGAGGTGCAAGACAGGGAAAGGCAAAGTACAATGGGAGTTTAGATTCAGTTCTTTCAGGGGGGACATATTTTCCGCAGAGGGGGGCGTCTCCCCTGCAGCAGGACATGAAAGTGACTCTGCAAAGGCACTAGGCACAAGGCCCTGCATTGCACGGACAACGCGCTGCCAATGGCAATTTGGAATCTCTCATTGCTCACACTGCTTAAATATTCATGGTGTTTTCCTTTCCCTCCTCCTAATCAGTTCCCTTGGAGCTTGGAGGTCATGGAAACTGTGCAGGATCAGGCCAAAAGCATTTCCAGATGCATTCTGGGGGTGTCTCAAAGCCCTACATGTTTATTCCTGTCCTGGCCTTTGTTTAGAGGGGAGTTCACAAGGCAGTTACACATGCACAAATAGAGCGACAAAACCCAGCACCACTTCATACTGGAAACAGTATGTTCAAGTTTTAACTCTTCCCTTGCCGTGTTGGAAACACAACAGGTGCCGGAGAACGAGAAGGGGAACAGGACTATAAACGAAAAGGGACCCTGCATGAAAGCCGTCAGTCTTGTGTCGCTTTCCAAGGGGAATGAAATGCAAAAGGAAATGGCGGAAAGTTTCTGAGTTTAAAAAATCCAGGTTTAACAAGCCCAGGTGCTAGTAGTAACACAGGGAACACAACAGAACCTCACTCGATTTTACCAACACCAAGCTTCTGAACCATTTTTCCTGACCGGGCGGAGGAGGGGGTAATCAGAATGAAAATGATGTCAATGAAGAGCAAGTCGACATCCCTTCACATTGCGATCTTTCAGTGCATTAGAAATCGTTTTGAAGGGGTTGGAAGGACAAGAAGAAAACAATGCAGTGCACTAGACAGCAACGTATGAACTGGTCCTATGGCAATTTGGGGGTGTTAAATTTTATGAATTTTCCGTTCCATGAACTCCTTAATCCCCAGTTAGTTTGTAAAATGGGTGTTCGACTGCATAGGATTATTTTTATTTCAACAGCGTCCACTTAAAACTGAACCTATTATTTCATCAACATCCCTTTTCAGTGGATTGCATTTTGCTGGAACATAGTGAATCCACATCACATAACCATGGGTTTTTCACCACAGGCTGCTATGTGAGTTGCAGAGAAAGCCTGTTGCTGTGTGTTTCAACCAGATGAGATTTTGCTGTTTGATCACATTACCCCAGTGGTACATACCCCGGGGCCTGGATTTATGACCTCTAACTCTAGGCCCTGAATAGTCTATCAAGGCTAAAAGCCACATGTTAAAATTGTCGGTGATTAAACATGGCTGATATACACTGTCCAACAGGACTCATGTGAGGGTATGGTGCATGCCTATCCCAGTGATTAGAGACAGAGAGCAAGTCAGAAGTGACATGCACTATGGGGTCAGGGACACTGCTATAAACGATCACATTAGCACGCGACGGGACACCTCCGCCGGAGTGTCAGTCTGACTTTGCTGGCACCTGGAATGCAAACAGGCAGCATTTCAAGGTGAGACATTCAAGGTGTGGGTTGGAACGACAAGTTCAGTGTGCAAGGCTGTCATGAAGGGAAATTCCAGCTCCCTTTCTTTGGTGACAAGCCACCCAAGCTCAGGGCTCGTGATGCCACTAAGAACCTCATGACGGAAGAACTAAGTAGATGAAAGGAGCGCCGGGGTGATAAAAACAGAATCATGTCCAGAGACCCCATGGTCACCAGCTAAACCATGAATCCGTGGCATCAGGCAATAGGACTTGCAACAGACGACTCAATAAGACTCTCCCGCAGCTGTCAGTAACAGTAGCGCTTAGATGCTCATTTGTAGGAGTCCAGCTATTATCAGGAATAGGGTGCTTTGCGCTGGTCTCCAAGGTGCATCTTTAGCTTGGAACAGGAGGTACAAGCCAAGTTCTGTATTGGCATTTGGGCTATGACCCAAAGCTGGCAATGCAGTAACAAGGGTTTTACGGCTGCGTCACAGGTGCTGTCCTCCTTTTGAGACATTAAACTGAGCTCCTCTCTGCCCCTCTCTCAGAACTCGCCGGGAGGGAGCTATGGATCCAGTGGTACTCAGAGCAATAGCCTCAGGGCTGCTCTCTCAGCACCGCAGGGCACTAATAGCTACGGCCATATGCACGTTATCGCTCAGCACAGGAGGGCTACACATGGCTAGCGTCTAACTCATTACTTTATAAGGTACTCGGGGGAGGGGGGGAAAGAAAAGAAACAGAAAATGAAAAGCCTGTTCCATTCCTTCCTTTGGCCTGTAGGGGGAGCTTTTTTCTTAAAGATCTTATCATTTGGGTTTTGGCAAAATGTTCCGATTTGCTGTTTCGTGCAGGGCCCCATATAAGGCCAGATTTCCAAAGCCAGGTGGCTAAGGAGCAGGACCACACTGTGTGTCTCTGTCTGTGTCTGTGTGTAAGTACGAACGCAGAAGAAACACTTTCACATGCAGTTCTCCCATTTACAGGCGATACACTGACTGGGACGGCACCTCCATTATGGAAAAGGCAGCCCATCTAGCTCTGGGTTTGCACCTGGAGCAAGCCAGGGAGGTGGCCCTTCCTACCTAATCTCTCCCCTGCCAGCAGATAAAGACGGCGGGGTCAATTCCATTTCACAGGGCACTGAATAACCGTGGGTCTCAAGTAGGCTGTTTGTGGCCTTGTTCTTTTAATCTGTTGGCAAAGCCTCCCCACCCCCCAGTCCGCGCCTCCCTATCCGATCTGTTCAATAGTGTGATTGTCTGACACCTGGAGCGCACACAAACACCTGCGTGACTCATCTCTCTCCCCCTTCCCCCCCCCCAGCAAGACAC